ATTTGAAATTGCAAACAGTTCACATATTTTTCTTAATCACACTATTCTAAATTTCAGTTGTTGAGAAAAGTAACTGTTGTAAGTTTTGTTTTAAAGTCTTTCCCACAAAAGGGCTAAAGCCATGTGTTGTAAAACAATATGAAATAGTAGTCTGCCACTGAACGCCGGATGTAAAGCATCGGCTTCGCTAAAGATAATTTTGTATTTTTAATTCTCTGAATGGCGCCACCCTAATATGGAATTTGTAAAATAAATGTATATATTTTTGATTGTTGATGAAGCCCATCATTTTGCGTTTTCATCAGTGTTCAGAAGCAGAACAACTATAAGTTCTTTATTTTATCACAAAAATATAAAATGTATGAAAAACAAAGAGTAAGAAAATGAGATATTTATCAGTTAAAATAAAACTTTTTGTTTAAGTCATTGTTAACAATTCAAATTTCTCCGAAGCAATTCTAAACCTTAATTTTGCTCACTACGTGCTTTTGCGCGCCGAAGCCTATCAATTAAAACGTAATAGTTTTTTATATAATATAGATTAGCTATATGATGCTCACTACGTGCTCTTGCGCACCGAAGCCTATCAATTAAAAATGAAAACTGTTGCCAGCGCGAGAAAGGAACTATCATCGGTTTTATTGATACATACATACGTACGTATTAGCGTTTTATATAATATAGATAGATAGATAATGTGACATAAGAAGTCACGGAAAGAAAGACGTATTATTGGCATATTTCTGAAGAAAAGTTCACATTTTAGTTTAGGTTTTGAACGTCATATTAAGAAGCTTTGAGAAGTAGTTTTTATTACTCTCATTAAAACATCCCTTTATTGAATTTCTGCTTATTTCTATTTTCAAATATTTATTAAATATTTTCACCCTATTTTTTTTTCTTCAGGTTGGTAGGTATTTTATTTACTACGCACTAGAGCTGCACAATGGGCTATTGGAGATGGTCTGGGAAACATCCTTGAGGATGATCCGAAGACATGCCATCACCATTTTGATCCGCTGAACAAAGGGGATGGCTCCCCTGGGTTGGTAGCCCGACAAATATAGCGCGAAGACGAGCGTTTTACTGTAGAACAGTATATCGAGCACCGATACAACGCACCCTCGGTCCCTACGCAGACTGATCAAAGTGGTCACAAAACCGCTTACTGACCGCAGTCAGTGACGCTTGACCTCGGTGTTCTACTGGGAACTGTGTCTTTACGATCAGTCAACTGCGTGACCTTTTTTCAGAATCTTAAGAATTTCAGTACGTTTCTTAATTAGCATTTCAATACATTAAAGTACTTGGTATTTAAAAAAATATCAATTATTTAAATTATAATTTTGTTAAAGATACCAAACAGTTATTGGCGCATTTAAAAGAACCACATACATTAGACTAAAAAGAAATCAATTATTTAAACTATTAAAGTTCAATGAGTGTCATAAATGAATAAACCTTTCAGTGGGAGTGATGGGTTCTCCGTTCTTAAACCATTCGACGGGAGCTTTTTTATCCAACATTTCCACTTCCAATATTCCCTTCGCTCTCTCTAGTAATGTACAGTCTTTCAGTTTCTTCACTATTTTATTAGCAGCTGAAAACAATCATTTCGGAATCAATCTCTTTTCAACACATCATTTTAAACACCAGTATTTCTTAAACAACTCAGGGAGAAAATTATCATGTTATAAATTAAATTATCGTGCATCTATTTCATAACTATATAGTGAATGATATTTGGACAAAAGATTCGACATATATAGTTTCCCAAGCCAACTGTCTTTAAAAAAAATCAGAAGTATTTCTCCCAGTAATTGAATGAGAAGAGTTTGTTAGGCGAAGTGTTTCTCTTTCCATAAAAAAATTCACTTTTTTAAATACTGAAGCTCTCATTGGATGTTTCATAACCGTCGATGAACAGCCAACCCAAGTTTTTTTTTGGCTTTACGACCACTCATGTTCAACTCCGCAGCCTTTGTCATTTCGAACCCAATCCAGAAGACAAGGGAACTCCTGGATCGAGTATTGGGAGAAATTTGCCCTAGTGGAGGACTTTTTGATGGAACTAACCCGCATTTGCGTTGCATTGAGAGGTAAATCACGAAAACAACGGCAAGGGGACCCATGATCCGTCTACCACTGATGACGTCAGCACTGCGGTCGGTGCAATTCGGATGCGGAATTCGTATAGACAGGGATTCGAACCCGGTTCGCCTCGTTTGAAGGTGACCACTCTATCCCCTGAGTCATTGCGGCTCTTTATTGGATGTTTGCTGGGGATCAATATAGTAGCATTAAGTTGGCAGCCATAAAGTTAATTAGAAAACCGCGTAACAAAAATTCACCGAATTAAAAAAATTCTGATTTGAGATGAATTACAAAACCTTTTTAAACAATTTGTCTAGACCAAGAAGTCTTTAACATAATATCCATATGTTAAAAGTAAGCTTCTGAAGTCAGACTTTGAAATAGGAACTCATAATAATCTAAAAGGTAGTCCTGCAAAATATTACATGCCTCATATTGGTTGGATCTTTTTTGCTCAGGAAATTGTGAAACTCTGTCTTTGAAAGAAATAATATAAGCGGAATAAAATCTTCCGTAATATGAATAAAATTGAGTTACTTGTAATGTTTTCGTTACTCAAAAAAATAAAGCGCTTTCATTATTTTTTAACAATCGACTTTAAAGTACTTTATAATCGACTTAATATCGTCCAATTTATCCAATCCTCTTATTTATATTATATCGTCTAATTTAATTCATTAACACTCGAACGTAAACAACTGCAAACCGGTTTCAATCGCGTAAAAACAAGAACGCTGCATAGTATCACCTAATAATTAAGAATTTACACCGAATCTTATAGTGCGCCTAAAAATTTCGCCAGGGGCAGTAATTTTAAAATATTTTTACTAATGAATTTTTAGTGATCCATTCAATTGCAATCTAGTGTGGAAGTCGCAGATGACAAAAATGACATGGTTTATTTGTAAATGTTTTTAGGAAAATAGTCTATGATAAATGTTTTTACATTAAATAAAAGTGGTCGTGGTCTCATTAAAAAAAGGAAAAACAAATAATGCCTACTTACGTTCAACAATCATTTCACAAACAGTGCTGTCAGCATTGGATTTGCATGTATATTTTCCTTCATCCGTTAAACGCACTCCTTTGAAGACGAGTCTTCTGCGTCTTATTTGGGAAACCTGCTCAATTCTGTAGGCAAAACAGACATGATTGTTTAGGGTCAATAGGGAAATACGATACTTAAAAACATATGTATACAGGAATAACTAAATTATACTTATTAAAACTGTTTAGTAGTTACTTATAATAGCTTTTGGTACCAAATCATTTTTTAAGGTTCCAAACTTTTCGTTTTGCGTTAACTGTTCAATTTTACTTGATTCGTTAACTGGACCTTTGATAGGTAGGTATTTTATTTGCGTCGCACTGGAGCCGCACAATGGGCTATTGGCGACGACATCCCTGAGGATGATCCGAAGAATCACAATTTTGATCCAGTGCAGAGGGGAGGTAACCCGACTATTACTGACCCGCAGCCAGTGATGCTTGACTTTAGTGTTCTACTGGGAACCGTGTCTTTACGATTAGCCCACTGCGGGACAACTTTTGTTAGTTAAATAAAATAGAAATTATAGCGCGTTAATAGACAATAATGTCTAAAGTTCCTTGAGATCAATGCACAACATAATCGGTCAAAAGAAACTCACAGAAGAGAACAACTTTGATGGAATGAACTTCTTTGTATTTCAATAAACAAGTTCATTCTGTCAAATATGTCAATCTTCGACAAAATTTCATTCCGTTTTTGTAAGAATGATCTTGTTAGTGGAAAGTTTGTTATCATGGCAATCACTCCACTGCATGAATTTAACTCAATGAATTTAACTCAGGATGAGATTATCATTAGCAGAAATTGAATAGAACAATCGCTAAAAGTGTTTTAGGAGTGCTAATTCCATTGTTAGTCATGATAATTAAGCCTCACTCAACTCGTTAATTATTAATCTTTGGTAAAAAGATATTTTCAATGGTAAGTCAAATTTTCAACAACTTTTCGTTAGGTTTTTTGTTAGGTATAACATTTGAATCGAATAGGATATATGCATAGAGAAATTGCTATGATTGGTCTTTGAAATTTTTTTTTACTCCTCTGCATTTTACAGACATTTATTTTATTTTTTTTAAAAAACAAATTCTTTAGCACCCCGGAATATTGTCTCAAAAATAAAAATGAAAAACAAGTACTGTGAAGAAAACAATTTAAAGTCAATTCCTACTATGGTCAACAAAGAAACATTTTATTTTAGTCACTTTTTATTAAATAATTAAAAAATTTCCCATATAAAACCAAAATGAATTACATTGAATGAATTAATTAATATTTGTAAAAAAAAACTGTCTTAGCATCGAGTATCATCCACTACAAGCTTAAAAAAAAAAAAAAGGAATTGAATGGATGAATGAAAAGTATTTTATGAAGGATTGAAAATATGAACAAGATATATAAATATATATAGGAAGAGTGTGAACTAATAATAGAAAATTAAAAAAAAAATCCCAAACAAAAGCTGAATTCAGTTGTAAGGGGAAATGGTTTTACATAATAGATGAAGTAAGTGAGACTCACATGGGATCTGGTTTCAATTCTTTATCGTTTTTGAACCATTGAACTTTTCCTTCCCAATCATCCAATTCACATTCAATAAATACTTCATTATTCTCAATCACTTTGATGCTCTTCAGGGGTTTCGTGAACTTAAACAGTTGTTCTAAAAAAGATGAAAATCCAATTTCAGTCAGCATTCATTATAGAATCAGTCATTTTATTTTTTACTTTTGAAAAATTGACCTTAAAACAAAGTGTCAAATTTAAATAGCAAAAATAAAAAAAATCAGTCATTTAAGCCATTCAATGTTTTTAAACTTAATGACTGATAAAAGTAAATGAAAAAAAAAAAGGAAAATTCGTTTAAACGTTTTAAAATAAAATATAGCCTGGTTGGCAGGACCTTGAACTCAAGTCTGTGAGAACCGACCGAAGACTCAAAGTATAGTAAATGGTGACTGGTGCGCGTTAAATCAGTCTGATCATAAAGTCCTCTGTTTGGTACTATATTGGAGATGGATCGTTCTCCGGTTTTGGTCAAAATTACGATTTGTGGATGAGTCCGCCCTATAAACAGGTGTGACAGAAGTCGAATTTTTGGCCGCGCCACTGGAGAAACACTCCTTTACCTCTAACGACAACAACAAAAGAAAATATCCTTTATTTGAGCTGCATTATTTTTGAATCTGAAAGAGTATTTCTAACACGAAGGATACATTCAAATGAGCGTTTTTATTTTTGTCAGTATCGAATACCTTTCTTGGTTGCCTGCCGTCCAACTACTAGTAACTCATGGGGACATTTTTGGTTAACCATGATTCATCCACCGCGGACCTGATGTCAGTTTGCTTTCTTTAAGAAAAGTAGTTTTTTTAGTGGGTAGTTGAAAGAATCATTTAAAAATGACACTCTAGGAACAACTCAATTTCGAGGATTTGGTGACAACTTTTCGAAAGCAATGCAGGCTTAGACCCGTGGCAGAATTGTGGCGACACGCCGCCAGTGTCGCAGAACGGTACAGAGTTCTTTCCTTTGGGAAATAAAATATTTTGCTTTGCTTCTCTGCAGAAATTTTTGAAACATTTTATCTTTTCTTCAGAATCATATTTATGAGATGCCTATCTCGGGCATCGGGGTGGGGGAAAAAATGCTCATGATTTTTCTATTCTCATGAGAGGAGAATGAAAAATAAATAATCATAAAGTAAAAAAATTTGTTATTAAATAAATTGTTAAATAAATTAAAGCATAGCTTATTAAATAAATTTAATAAGCTATGTATAAAAATTTATTACATAGCTTTTAAAATCACATATTTTTAATACGATATTATTTATTACAACANTGAAATGATCCCTAAGTTGCAGCAGGAGATAAAGATCGATGCGAGCAGGAAGCCAGGTAGTTCAGAAAAGCAACATTAATAAGCTATGTATAAAAATTTATTATATAGCTTTTAAAATCACATATTTTTAATACGATATTATTTATTACAAATAAATCTCGAAATGAAAAGACGTAGTAATCCTTTTCTGAAGAGTTCATCTCTTTTTTCGGTAGCGACCGCTACAGATTTCACGATTTTTTTAAAATTTTTTTAATGCGATGATGAAATGCGAAAAAGGAAATAATGAGCGTGTTATCTTCCTACAAAATGTAAGAATATCACCCATAATATTAGAATTTAAAAAAATTACGTATTCAAATTAAAAAATATTATTTCATTTGATCCGATTTTTTTTTTTTTTTTGAAGTGAACGCCTCTGTTACTTTAAATGAGTAACATGTATATTTGTTATTTTCAAGTATCTTGCAGAAAGATATTAGTATTAGAAAGGTATGGCCACAGGAAGGTTTAGTAGTGGTGGCACATAGACTTTCGTTTTATATCGTCTAAATATTATGCGATACGCTTATTTATGTAATATTGATGTAATATTTTTATTGCTAAAAGCGCAACAAGTATGCTACAGATGATAAAAAAAAACGAGTAGAACAATGAAAATAATACAACGATTAGTGCTAAAAAAAAGGGAGTCATGGTACTCCATAATAGATTCAATACTGTGGATTTTCATTAGATAGAGTTAGCTAATGATTTTAGAAATGAAAAACACATTACCAGTGACTGTCAGTTTAGTTTCTGTCTTCTCCTCGGCGTTGATCTTGCACATATACTGCCCGCAGTCAGCAATAGAAAGATCGACAATCTTCAGAAGTTTTCTGCCCAAAGGATCTGCTTCAATCACGTATTTATCCGATGCCTTAAAGAGAAATGTTTTTGTTGTCAAAACAGTTTTATTGAATGTATTATTACGTCTAGTAACAGTGGTCGGATGCTGTAACTACTTTGTTAGAAATGTTGTTAACTACTTTTTTTAAATGCAGTGACTACACTAGAGTTAGAAATGAAGAGAATTTGCAGGCCTGTATAAGAGGGGGGACCCCCCTATTAACCCCTTTTTTGTTGCTGTTTCATACCTTTCGACTTCAACGAGTGTGTATTTACAATGGTTTTGTATCAAATTTCATTACTATAGAGCAGAGGTCGCCAAAGTGGTCTATATAGACCCCCAGGGGTCTATTTAACATAAGCGGGGGTCGATCTGAGCCAGGGGGTCGATCCGAACCAGAAAGGTCGATTGGTCGAAGGANCGAGTGTGTATTTGCAATGGTTTTGTATCAAATTTCATTACTCAAGAGATAATCAAATTCTCCTCACTTCTTACACGTTGAAATTGCAGAAACTATTTCAGTACTTTAAGAAGACCAACTTAAATGTTAACCAATAGTTTAGAAGACCAATCAAAATGTTAGGGATTCATTTAGAAATATTTATTCATGTTTACAGGAGCCAATTTGTTATTCAAAACATATTTTTTTCATTTCATCTTAAACTTTTCATGCCTTTCTCGACAGCGAATATTTAATTTAAATATGAAATTAATAAATACTTGAAATTTTTTTTAATGGTTGAATGCTTTCCTCTTAAAAATTAAGCACATCGAAAATACGTTCTCTTATATAAAATAGGATTAAATAACATTCACGAGTGATCTCCTCATTTAAATATTAGTCATACGTGATTACGTAAATCCTTTCATGGAATCCATTGACGGAATTCGATCCATTAGTCTCGATAACAGAAGGAACTACTATGTGTACTTATCCCACTACTTTTCTTAAAAACTCCACTACACTACAAGCTATGAAAAAAAAGTAGCGTAGTTTCATTACTTGTAGTGTGCTACCACTGGTGTACAAATAACTTAAAGAGAGTTTCAAATTTTTGGTAAAAATCTTTACCAAAAGATCTGAATAATAATCATTTTTAAAATGCAAAACTTCTGGGTCACTCTTTATTCAATCACTCAGTTTTTAGCATTAAAAATTTTTACATTATGCTTAGTCATACTTAATTAATCTATTTTTTATATGAAGTTCACGACCAAGATAGCAATGCACGATAGATAACAATGCACCCATTAAAAGGGGAATTTTTTTTCATTACTATAAAAAAACATCTTTGAAAATTAGCGTTTCTAAGAATCTATTTTTTTTAAAGATATATCAGTGAAATGTTTGTTTTAAAACTACTTTTTTGTATATTTTAATGATCTACACAGTTTTCTCTACCATTTTATTAGCATTTAGTACAAAATATTAAAAGATCTATTACGAACTATCTTGAATTTCAAAGTTCAAAAAGTTCAATTATCTTTAACAATTTTACTTAATCTAGGTTCGTAAAACGAAAGCCTGTAATATTTAAAAGCAGTAACACAATTTTAGGGAAAAACAGTTTTAAGGAATCTGATGGTAGATGGCGACTGTAGTATAAATTAAACACATAATTTAAAGAAAAAGATCAAATGGAGAAAAAAAAAACTATGCCTACCAGTACTACAAAATGCTTAAAAATATGGGCATTTCCTAATTTTACAGATATAAATGATTACAGAAATTTATTTATTTACCGGTAAAGTAGTATAATATGACGAATTTGAATTTGGTAGTTAAATCTAAAAATGGGACGTCATTTCATTCTTTAATTTACTTTTTAAATTAGTTTTTTAAGTAGAATATTATTAGCCAAATGGCATAAAAATCTGGAATAAGGTATAAAAAAATTAAAAAATTTTTATTCAAAAATAATACTTTTATACAAAAAAAAATTTCAACTTTTAAAATATTATCTCCTTTGATTCGTCTTTGGTCTCATTCAATTACATGAGAAAAATACATAGAAACCTCAATTGTTTCTATAGGTTACGTCATTAAGTACAAAATTGTACATAAAACGCTTTTAAAATATATCTTACAGGTTCAGATAATAATGTGTCAAAAGTAGTAAAAACTGTTGACTTGTCGTTGCGTATATAAGTACAGATTTGTATCGCTTCTAAACTATTCGAGAGTGATTTCATTCAATTCATCGTGAAATGCCTCGGAAAATATGACTGTTTCATTTGCCTTAAAAAAGAAGGTACAGTCGAACCTCGATCATGAATTTTTCGATATCTCGAAGAAAAAAAAATTACCTTCAAATTTCCTATACACTCAATGTTAAGAAAAACTTTTTTTTTCTAATCCCTCGATAACTTAAATTTTTTTTTCCATAAATAGTGTAGATTTTTCTTCTGAAAATAAAAAAAATATTCCAAAAAAAAAATTAAAAATTTAAGAATAGAAAACCAATTCTCATAATGATAAACTTTTTAAAGTGGACATAAAGACGTCAGTGGTATAGAATGACGTGTCTTTCTCTACGATAATGAATGGTTTCAAGAATGCTGGATTCATTAAAGATCACGAAAGTAGTCAAACAATTAATATCGTTAATTCTGCTGAAAACTACACCGAAAATGATTGGGACAGATTGACCGGCCTCATGAAACTCGATGCCATGGAATTTCATGACTTTGTAAACGTAGATGATGCAGTAACACTGTGTGGTCAGTGGGATGACAATGATATCATCGATCAAACGAAAGCTTCTTGTGAACTATCAGAAGAAGAGGATGAGGAAATCGAAATGTTACTAACAAACAAGCACTTTCTGCAGTGGACACTGTAAGGAGATTTATTGAGAGGCAGCCAAATATGTCGGAGGAGACATTTAAAGAGTTATAGTCCACTTAGAAAGTGTTATAGACAAACTTTCTTACACATCTCTAAAGCAAACAATTTTTTTAAATGAAAGTGTAAAAAGTACTTTTAGAATAAATATGGAATAATAAATAAGGTAGGAGCATTTACCTTTATTCTACCATCGATAACATGCGATAATTCGAATTTTCGGTATCGCAAATTTTTTCTCCTTCAAGTTCGAGATATCAAGGTTTGACTGTATATTATGAAAAAAAAAACCTTGCAGCTTGGGTTCTTCAAGAATCTTGGCACAATAAAGGTTCAAAGGGCCGATATGGGCCATATATAGAATTGTCAGATTCACCCAATATTTCACTGCCACTTTATAACCAAGCCTTATATGAAATTCTCCTGATATTTTAGGATCATTATTCATCCAATATAAGCCTTAAATAGGCTGATATTGACGCTGCATAGGACCCCTATTAAAAACAACCTAAATGTTCATACAGCCCAACTGGGGCCAAGATAGGGGGAAGGTCTAATTTTACTGGAAATGGTGCACATTCAATAGCTTCATCCGAGTTACGTAAAGAAAAGAAAAATCTCTGGAGAGTTACCTCTATTTTCTGTCCGTCTTTGTACCAATTGACGCAAGCTTTGTAATCATTGACAGCGCATTCAAGGACGACATCTTTCGTTGTGTATGCCTCTGTTGTCTCACCCAATTTCTTTGTAAATTTATACACGGGATCAGGTTCTGGAAGACATGTTACAGTAAATGGTTAGATGGTGCGATTTTTATAAGCAGCTTTCGACAGAATGGCTCATTTTATTTTTAAAATATGTGTGAATCTTTACTCTCGACCTGAACACAATTCAGGCCTGCCCCTACGCTTTTTGTAAAATAATTCATAGAGGGGTAGACATTTACAAACAAAAACTTTCGGAATTCCTGGTAATTTTGCCAACGTTTTAAAATATTCACAGCGAGAAAACTGCATTGTAACTTTTAAATCAATGATGCGTAGTGGTGTGGAAAATAAGTTTAAATGAATAACAAATAATGCGTTAATATATCAACTTAGCTACCACTAGAGTAAGTTTTCACAAAAAACCTTGAAAGTTGGCAGCCTTCTTCATTGTGTAAACTCAACTTAACATCTACAGATATCATTATTGATATATATGTAAATATTTATAATTTAATTATATTTATAACCATCGTTGAACAGCCGATCCAATTTTGGGTCGGTTGTTCAACGACCTACTCATGTTCACAGCAATGTCATTTTGAACGGAAGACAAGGGAACTCCTGGATCAAGTATTAGGAAGCATTTGCGTTCGTGGAGGACTTTTTGAAGAAACTAACCCGCATTTGCATTACAGGTAGCAGAGAGCCACGAGAACCTCCCACGGTTAGCCTGACGGCAAGGGGACTCTAACCCATGATCCGTCTACCGCTGAGGATATTTTCACGTCAGCACTGTGGTCGGTGCAATACGGATACGGAATTCGTATCAACCAGCCATCGCTGGGATTCGAACCCGGTTCACCTCACTGGGAGGCGAATGCTCCATCCCTGAGCAATCGTGGCTCATCTATTTTTTTTGTCAAAACTGAATAGCTGCCATATAGGCATATTTTTATTATATTGAAGTGAAATAATATCTGTCGAAAGTCACCAGATGGTAGGTGAAATCTTGATCCATTTAAACAACTTTTACATTCCCTGAAGAAAATATTTTTTTAAAAAAAATCTAAGGTTATTCTAAGGCAGATTCAGGAGACAAATACTATTCATTATTATTATAATTATTTTTTCCCAGGACTACTTTGGAATTTCTCGTCATAGAAAAAACAAGCTTTTTCTCGGAATGGGACTTGTCAATTACAAATTAAGAAAAGAAATTTCAATAATTGACTGGATTCATCTCACCGTCCACCGTGACTATGCAAGAACTGGTGATGCCCATACATTCAATCTTGTATCTGCCGCTGTCGTCCTCCACAGGATTGTTGATGATCAACACATGGAGATCACCCTCGCTCTGCATGTGGTATTTCTTTCCCAAGAAGAGCTCCTCTTTAACCCTGTACCACTTGGCCTTCACGTTCAACTTTGAGAACACAGCCTCCAGCCTCAACTTTTTGTCTTTTCCCTCTTTCGCTCTCGCATCCACCAATGGTTTCACAAACTCATCTTTTTTCTGTGAAAGGAAGATATGTACTTTATCATTCTCTGGAAGAACCTCATTCATTCATTCATTCATTCAACAAAATGGTTCGATTTTATAGAATAGTTGTTGGAATCGGTTGTAATGCAAAATAAGTTAAATACTTGCCGAGTTTCTCCTTCAGTTGAAGAGTTTTAAGCTGAAATACCCAGGGTTCGAGACAAAATCTTCCAATAGTTCTAAAATCCTAAGATATTTGACTTAACACTGTTGGATCAACAACTCCAAAAAAGAAAGGTCTCAGCACACATAAACAGGAAATTCGATCCCCTAGTAGTCCAAACGAAAGGACATCTTTTGCGCAGATGAGTAGTCTTTTTTATATTTACATCCACTGCGCAGTTGGACTATTAAATCGATACGTACCTTGGAGGTGTTGATTGGATAGAGAAGTGGTACAATTCCTGTGCTCTCGCTATCTGTTTCTCTACTGTTTTAACCTTATAGAAAAATTCTTTAAAATGGGAACAATGTTTCCCACCTGAAATGCTTATTAACTGTAAAAAAGTATTTTTAAAACCATTTAAAGACAAGTTTTTAAAAATCCAATAACCATCTTAGAAAATATGGATCTAAATTTTTTTTGCTTCCTTTTTTTATTTTTCGACATAAAATAAAACTTATTGCACCATTTAAATTTTATATTTTGAATACGCTAAAGCTTAGTTAGAAATTGGGTATTTTTTTCTGCCATTAAATACTACAACGCAGTCTGAAGTGTGCCTCAGGATTTTGCATCTTTTGACTATAATGGGCATTATGGGCGTTTGTACTTGCAGTATGACAAAGACTAGTGTTAGACGAGGAACCTCAATAAAACTAATGATATGCACAGTGTTACAAAATTAATATAGCCAAAATGAAAGGAAGCACATGTAGGGAAATCTTATACAGGGCAAATTCTACATCTTTCTAATGGCTTCGACACTAAAAGAGTGAAGAAAACATTAAAAATAATTCTGTAGTTTGATGAAGATATTCTAAGATTACAACTATGGAAAAAATAACAGCTTACTATATTTAAAATAAATATATGTGGGTTAACTTGAAATGTGATTTTTGTTGAATCATATTATTTTTCAGAAAATTTAAGGCATTGAAATACTGTTGTAAAGCAATTGAAATATAAATAGGTTTAATCTTCATCTATTAAAATTAAAACAATTAAATAGAGAAAAAGGATAAATAGAAAATAAATAGAAAGAATAAACAGGAGAAAAATTCCTTTTTTTATGTAGAAAATCTTTTGTTAAAAGCATTTCAGAACTTTCGTGTTTCTATAGGTAAAGTACTACATCATATGAGATAAGAATTTCAAATTTTTTTTATGGGGATGTTAACCCTTAGTTCTCTGCTCTAACTTTACAGGTATTGGAAATTAGGCAGTACAATGCAACAAAAATTCTTCCTTCTTTAAAATTACAGGATATTTCACTTAAAATAAGAGTTTAGAAGAAGTTATTACTAAGAAAATCAACTCTTTTATTGTTAAAGGAAAACTCATATGTTAAGCGACACCCAAAGAGACAAAAGTTGCTGAGCGAGCACTCATAATGCAATAGAGTAATCATATAAATAACATGCGTCATAGCCTTTAAATAAGGTAGTAGAATTTATGGCGTCCATCTAAATTTGTTTTTTAATATGAAGCAAAATTTGCAAATACTTTAGGTAACCTACACCTAATACAAATGAAAAATTTTGCTAGTTTGTATAAATCCCTAAGCTAATTCCAACTTTTTTATTTGTAGTCTTTACGCAATTCAGCTTTGTAATTTTAATCAGAAATAAGTTGAGCGATGTTTCAAATAAAGAATGATTTTTTTTCAATAATTAGCTATATATCTCTGCAGATTAGTAACATAATTAGTAAAATATCTCTGCCGATGCTACGATAACGCTGGAGGATTTCTACAACATTACTGAAAACACTTCAGAAAAGGTACCAAATTACCTTACTTTTCATAATTCCAGAGTGTCTTTTAGCAATAGGAAGAATCCTTCAGAAAACTGTGGAGGTAAGTTTAGAATGCAGCTTTGATTTGCGTCAAAAAAATAATTTGAGTCATCTGTGTTAATTTAAAATATTTGACAATTTAAATTGCATCGTTTTTTTATAATTTACTCTATTCTTAGTAAATTTAGTGCATATTTCGTAGTTATTTCTATTGGGAATTGTTGTTGATACGAACACCTTTTGGAAATGAAAACAAGAAGTAATTGATTTTCTATCAAGATTATTTAAATAAGAAAGCGTCATTGGAAAAAAAATACAATAAAATTAGTAATTGGCTTAAACAGGAAAAAAAGGCTCCCTGCCTTTATAAAGCTGAGATTAGGTGTTGCCACATTTGACAGAAAAAAGTGAGAAAGTTATTAAAAATGGCAGCTGTCTGAGAAAGAGGATTCCTACAATGTAACATGAGCTGTTTTTCCACTCATTTATCAATTTCATTTAAAAAACTACATGAATAATATTCATTTTTTTAGTCATTTGTAGAATCATCAGAAAATTTTAAACGTTTCTTTCATCGGTTTAATAAAAAGAGAATTGTCTTTACGAACTGCTCATTAAAAAAGTACAAAATGAGTATATTTCAAACCACACTATATAGTAAACGATATATTAATAAAAAGGATTTCTGTGTGTCTCAACAGAACTGTCGACGTTCTTTAATTTGGACAAAACGTGTAAGTATTAAATTTCCCTTTCAATTAACATTTGCTACAAAATAAGCGACTGACGCATTTCATTTCAATTTATTGTTTAAAGAAAAATAAGTTACACCTGCTAATTTTCAATTCCTTTTAATGAAAAAATAATCATTTATTGCACGTTCTTCAAAATGATCATAAGATGACGTCACCAATGAGTATAGTTAAAGAACCAGTCCATTAAAAACCACGTTTTTTTTTATTACTTTTTTTATTGTGACTATATCGGAAAGTGTTTCTGTAAATCTAATTCATCATCAGGAAGAACAGGACAGAAAAGAAACTATTAAATGGATTTCATTCTGCCGGCAGAGGGTTTGCAGTTTTATGATAATAATTTATTCATTTTTGACCATTCCTCCCTCATAGAGCACAAACGCCATGTTATAGTTTAAAGGCTGATTTTTTTTCTCTCTCAATTACACTGGTAACAACGATTCGCTTTTATGAACCTTGAGTGATGCTGGCCGGTAACAGGTGACAATGTGATCCTACTTACTTTCTTTTTTAAAAGCTGAATTTTATGTGAGCGGTTATTTGAAGATGTTTTTTAAGTAACTGAATGAGCAATTCAATAAGATCTAAGGGTGTTTAACAAAGAATTACAACTGTTTGGCAAGGGATTCGAAACTTCAAAGCTCCTCAAGCTGCTTTTTAGGAATTTCGTCCAACCACTTCGAATAAGTGCCCAAGTAACATAAATTCAGATGTAAAATTCATATTTTATGAAATGACTTTAGAACAGATTACTAAAATAGTTACCCGCATATAAAATTCAGATTTTATAAAATGAAGTTAGTAGGATCACCACAACCATGAAGTATGGCCGGGATGGGTAGGACACTGGGCACATGTCCAAGTGGACGTGGGTTCGATCCCCGTCGGCCGAAGACTCCCCCGTGTAGTAAACGGTGACTGATGCACGTTAAATCTGTCGAGTCACAAAGTCTTCCATATTCTCATAGCAAATCCTACCTCTGGGGATACTGATCCAGGAATATCCTTGTCTTCTGGATAGGGTTCAAAATGACGAGGCGTTGAACATGAGTAGTAGTTAAACCCAAAATCGGGTCGGTTTTTCAAGGACGGTTATAAAAAATATAAAACCATTAAGGATGTCCTGCTGATGGTTTCCATCATGAGAACTACTCGAATACTCGGGAAACATCTAAGCCCTAAGTAAGGTATATAAAATTCAGTTTTCATAAAGTGTAGGATCAAATTTTCTGCATCTTTGTTATAAACCAGCCAAGGCAACAGCAACTGAAGGCTCTTAAATGCTAATCGTAGTTAACTGCGCTTGCATCATTGCGTTCAAAGCAATTTTCAGTTTTCACACTAGAAAGTAGGTATTCGCGGGTTGTAGGACTACCATAGGAAGAAAGTGGTAAATTAATAATTTATTTACATGTCCCGTGTGGAGGGTGGCAGCAAAGAGTCAAGAGAACAGCTCATTTAAATTGTAGACCATCCAATAATAGCCGATTAATAGAGAAGAAGAAGAATAGCAGCAGCTGAGGCAGAGAAAAAAAAAGTAGAGAAGAGAAGCTTGATTGAGAGAAAAGATATTCTCCAACCTCAGAGTCTTTCACTACTTTTTGGAGAATGGGCCAATCAGGAATCAACTCAGCTAAAGAGGGACGACGACTTTCCCGTGATCCTCTGCGTTCATCACCACTGCTCTACAATAACAACAACACAACAACACAGGTCAACAAACACATATACATTCCCATTGCAATAATGATGGAACAATTATAACAGTTCAATCATTATGCAATGACTATAAATGTTATTTACAAATCTTAATTCTACATGAAAGGTTAGTCATGTTTGGGGCAGCATTAACTAAAGGTTAAAATATGACATATCTGTGGGTTACCTTTTCCCCACCGATGGAATAATTTTCAGGCATTGACGTGAATCTATCTGGTTTAAACTGGTTTCGAACTTTCTTGTGTGCACATTTTCTAAGTGGCGATCGATAGATGGCAACAGCGTGTGGAGAATCACAGAAGAAGGAAGTACGTTAGTTTCTCTATTGATTTTCAAATAGATCTTTTAAGTTAGGAAACTGAATTGAACCAAAAACTAGATTAAAAATAGTTCTAAAAGAAAGAGTCGTGAAAATTGTAAAAAATATTTTTAGCAATTGAATACGAAAAATAATAAGAAAAAGACAAATATCGTAGTACATTCCTATACAATTGAAGAGAGGAGGAGAGGGAAGGGTCAAATGCATGGAACCGGTCAAAATGGAACCGAATAAAAGTTGGCTTAACAGACTCTTGGACACGTATAGAACAAAAAGCATATTGCAGATAAGGTAGGTACTTTATTTAAGTCGCACTAGGGCTGCACAATGGGCTAATGGCGACGGCCTGGGAAACATCACTGAAGATGATCCGAAGATATACCATCGCAATTTTGATCCTCTGGAGAAGGGATGGCTCGCCTGCTTTGGTAGCCAAACGACCTGCGAGGGAAGTCGAGCACTTTACGGTAGAACAATTTAACGAGGAACGATAACGTGCACCCTTCGCAGGCTGATCAGAGTGGTCACCCACCCGCTTACTGACCGCAGCCAGTGATGCTTGACTTCGGTGTTCTACTGGGAGCAGTGTATTTAAGATAAGTTCACTGCGGGACCTATTGCAGATACGAAATCTCTTTTGGTGTGGGGCATGTTTCTTTCGCACCTTTGTGAAGAAGTGAAAAAAAAGGCTACACATTTAAAATCTTAGGTTGAAGTCATCCATCCCTCAACTGCTATGTGTGTGTTTTAACGAGCCTTTCAAGGACAATATGAAAAAGGGCAAATTGAATAAAATCTGGTTTCCCAACGAAATTGGAAGGGTTGATTGCACGCGGTGTAAAGGATGCTAGGGAAGACCCAAAGAAATGGTCCTTTAAAAAATTTTCTATATGCAATGCACTTAATGCCACCGTCATTATCCAAATGAAAACGAATCTCTGAAGATGCATGCACACATGACAGACTTTAATGAACTATTTAGATAATTTGACCCAGAGTTTGTTGGATTTTGATATTTTTTCTAAACAAATTTTTTTTTAAATAGCTGTTTTCTTACTTTTAAAATGTTTGAAAAAATTTTGGAAATAGAAAATGATCTGTTTCGTAAAAAGCATTTTCCCCCCGCTTGATTCTGCCAATTAAAACTAGCATCGCATGAGTAAATGCTTTTTTTTAAAGGTCAGACCCACTGTTTGAAGAACGAAAAGCACCCAATAAAGAAAAGAGAAGTCCCATTTCACAAAAAATCATTTTGGATTCAAAATGACTCATAGTATGACAATCTTTATCTGGATATAATAGAGGGTCATTCCATTGTTAGTATTTAATTTAATGAATTAACATTTTAGACACAGTCCTATAGATATCGATTAAATATATAATCATTTTTATTGATAGATTTTATATTTGCCCTTTTCATAAAATTTAATTTCAGAACAAACAATCACTTTAATAATCTTTTGGGTACTACAGAGAATGTTAGTACATTTTTTGTTAGATTCTCTAATAATGTGTTTTTAATATGAATGCTTTTTGAAGCCAAACATCACGCCGTAAGTCAGGTAAATCTAAAATTAAAAGCTGTTGGTGAATCATTCAAGAATATTCCTTGAAATCCTAAAAACTTAAAATAGACGTTTATATACTGTCAATTCAATCCAAGGTCTTAGTAAAAGATTAAAAATACTATTATTTTGTAGAATATGAAAGCAATGTCATAAGCCAATATAAAAAAAGAAGAGATCCTACCGATTTGAGACAGCATGAATACAAAAATAGGCGATGGCGCGAAAAAAAAAAATTAGACGCAAAAAGGAATGAAAATAATATCGATTATTTCTAATTATTTAAGCAAGAAATTAATTTCTGTTCCTATAAAATGACTACAAAAAAATAGATTCATTTTTATTTACTCGCCACTGACCCTGCTCCTAGACACTGGGGGTAAGCAGTGTGCCAGGAGTTTTTCAGCTACCCGTGATGGCTATTCATGTAAATTTAAAAAAAAAAGTTGGGGTTGAGTCAGCTAACTTGATTACTAATTTCTAATAAGTTACCACCATTTATGATTTTGTTAAGTTTTATTATTCACATTCCACCAAAGGACTGCCTCAACTACCACTCATACTAAAAATAGGTAAAACACACAACACAACATAAACAAAACATGCATACCCCACAATCGACCACGGACTGGCTCACAATAGCAGCCAACGTGGTTGATCACTAAACACGCCTCACCACTGACCCTGCTCCCAGTCCTTGGGGACAAGCAGTGAGTCCGGAGCTTTTCAGCTACCCGTGATGGCCATTTATGTTAATCTTAAAAAAAAAAACGTGACGTGACAAGCTATTTTATATTGTACTGTTATCGTCCATCCTTTGACTCTGTAATGTAACGCTGCTAGTCAATCAATGTAAAATTACTAATTAACATCTGATGTGATAGTTTTAACAGTAGGTTATTCAAGATCTAGGTGTCGACTCAAATTAGACACACAACTTTTCTCCCAATCATCTTTAATCCGGATAAACACTAACTGCAGCTCTCTGTCTCAAGGTGCAAACTAAACAATATGGACCTAATTAGGTTAAATAACTAAAACACCAACTTAGGGTACGCAATTAATTAGAGCTAACATAAGTTTCTAATCTTGTTCTGATGCAGTAAGCCAAATTAGATAAGTTTGTTTCTCATGATACTAATTTTTCAAATTCAATAGTTTACAGGCGATGAACAACACCATGATGGAACCACTAGAAGATATTGGTAAACACCAAACCCATTATCTAACCAAAGTAAGGATGGTTTGACAGATTAACATCCAATTATGACAAGTGATTTCCACTTACTGCCATAATCAACTATATAATCAACTAATACTCCCCTTGTAACAGGTCCACAGGTGCGGTGCAACAATAATTCTGATGAATTGTCGTTACTTGTGCGGGATAGCCTGGTCGGTGGGGTGCCGGGCCCATGTCCAAGAGTTCCTGGGTTCGATCCCCGCCGATCGAAGATTCCCCGTGTAGTAAATGGGGACTGATGCAAGTTAAATCTGCCAAGTCTCGAACTCCATCATCCCACAACAAATCAAAGCCTCTGGTAGTACTGATCCAGGAGTTTCCTTGTCTTCTGGATTGGCTCAAAATTACAAGGCTACGGCGTTGAACATTAGTAGTCGTAAACCCAAAAATTGGGTCGGCTGTTCAACGGTGGTCATAAAATAAAATAAAATACTTAGAAATTACATATCATCAATTATATATTATCAGCCGTGGTGGCTCAGGAGAAAGAGCGTTGGTCTTCCAAGGAGATAAACCGGCTTCGAATACCACCGATGGTGGGTCGATTTGAATCCGCATCCAGCTTGCACCAACCACAGTGCTGACGTGAAATATCCTCAGTAGTAGACGGATCATGGGTTAGAGCTCCCTTGCCGCCAGGCTAACAGTGGAAGGTTCACGTGGTCTTCCTCTCCGTGTAACGCAAATGCGGATTAGTTTCATCAAAAAGTCCGCCATGAAAGTATCCAGGAGTTCCATTGTCTTCTGGATTGGGTTCAAAATTACGGAGTGGAAGGCTACGGAGTTCAACATTAGCAGTCGTTAACCCAAAATTGGGTCGGCTGCTTAACAACGGATATAAAATACTTAGAAACGGAGCCCTGGTGGTTCAGGAGGAAGAGCGCTAGCCTCTCAATGAAGTGAACCAGGTTCTAATCCCGGCGATGGCAGGTTGATTCGAATACCGAACTCAGATCGCATCGACTACAGTGCTGACGTAATATATCCTCAGTGGTAAGCGGATCATGGTTTAGAGGCTAACCGTGGGAGCTTTTCCTCTCCATGTAACGCAAATGCGAGTTAGTTCCATCAAAAGCGAATTTTTCCCAATACAGGAGTTCCTTAGTCTTCTGTATTGAGTTCAAAATGACAAGGAACTTTAGAAACCCAAAATGGCCACAACGGTTATAAAATAAAATTCGGATTGAATATAAATTAGTTTCAATCTGTTAGAAATAAAGACGTGAGAGGATCAAAAGTGATAATAGGATATGTGCTTTCCTACCCAAACACTCATTAATTGTTTGTTCCCATTAATACATCCAAATTTGAAAATAAATGAATGTGATCTTTCCCAAAGAAATTTCAATATAATACAAATGAATTCACGGATTTCTTACGTGATAAATGTTAAATACAAATGGTTGGCTTTTCTTTCATTGATTGAGAACACTAATCAAATTGATTCGGATATCCTTTGATTTTATTTACGTCTTTTAATTAATTTTGATCCCTACTTAGAATAAGAACACATACTGATACAAGCTTTCACATAAATTTCAAACTTCTCACGATAATTATTTATCAAAATAGATAATAAATATCTCCTCCATAAGTAGATGGGACATAATATTATAAGTAGAGATTGATTATTTAAGGTAGTTCGATTCTTTAATCAGTTATTTTATTTGTATTTCACTGGGAATCTTTGTGCGTGTTATAATTTGAAAGAGCGTTCATTCCTCATGGTAGGAGAAGATATAAAGTAAACGTGTGCTTATAAAACAACTTATTTACATTTCGAAATGTTTTTCACTTTTTGTGTAGTAATCTGTTTTCTACTTGTCCTGGTTTAAATAACTTAATTCTTCTTAAAATAAAAATTTGCTTTCGAAATTAATTTTATTTTTTTTTAAAAAAAATGTCCATTTGTTGTTAATTCAATTTTATATGAAACCACATTTATAACCATTATCAATCTCTTGTAAAACACCTGTTTAATCTAAACCAGTGTCAGTAGGGAGCGCAAAACAAGGTGTAAGTAAAGTGATTATTTGAATGCGTTTTTTTTCCTTTTTGTAGAACTAAAAAAATTAGTTTTCTATGTAAAGGGAAAGCATTTTTTGATCAGATAATATAGTTATTAGGTAAACATATTTTTAGCCACTATCATAATAACTTGATATTTTTAGATCTGTTGTATTTAAAAATAAGCGTTAAATTATTAATAAGCAATATCATGATTTTTCAAATGCAAGATTTCTGCCTGGGTTAAGTTAGAATGCATTATTTGCATAAAACTGAAATCATGTTTATGCATAGTTTTTTTCTCCATATCGCATTTGTGAAAACTGAAGCAAAATGAATGCACGTTAAACTAATTTATTTCCATAAAATCAAAATAATGTTATTAGAAAGCAACATTTTTTTGTAAATTAATTTTTCTGAATTGTGAGATATAAAATTATTATTATGGGCACTGCATAATTAATTGGTTTAAAACATAATGTTAATGAAATTAGATAAGTTTGTAAAGAAGAACTTGAATTTTGTGTGCAAATGGAATAGAATTAGAAACATATATCCCACACGTATGCGTAACATAAAACATCCATTAGATTTACGATAATCGTACGAACGAAGATTCTACGAAACATACATGGTAACTATTGTATGACATATTTTAAGCGAATGAATTTTACGGATTTTTATAGTCAAAAACTGCATTCCACTAAACCAGCAACTTCAGTCAATGTGAGAGATAAATGTTTTTTTTTTATACATTTTTGAATTCATGGTTTTCAATAAATAAATATTGGAATCACTGTATCGATAGTTATAAAACATTCCTTTCATTAATTTAGAAAGTTTCGAAAAATGAACATTTTAGAATGCTAAAACAAAACCTTTATTTTAAATTCATCTTTCTTTATTTTTTAGTCACATTTAGTACAATATTTAAGAGTGTAAACTCTTAAATATTTAAGAAAGCAAAAAACGACATAAAAAAATTCTATATCTCTAAGGATTCTTTTTTCAGAAACTTTCTTATTTTGTGGAGTTTCCAAAAATAAGAAGCAAGAATTTTTGATAAAAAACAAACAAACAATAGACCTGGAGAAATTGGCAATCAGGCGTTATATATATATTTCGCAAAAAAAAAAAAAAAATTAACACCCTGAACAACTCTTTTGATGTAAAGATCTTCACGTTCTGGGACTCAATCTTAATGGCTTGAGGGGATGACCTATACAATGCTAATTAATAAGTGCAGATGATATTTTAAGTTACGGACACAGAAACATACCCTTTCTTCGACAGATTCTGACTCCCAAAATGTAGGGAGATCAGGACAGTGTTACAATAGTTTTGTGAATTTTACTTTCTGCCTATTTCGCTATATCTCGAGAATTTTTACGCGAACATTTTTGCACATTATTATAAAATTTGCTTATCTAAAGATATTTCCATGCAAAAAAATTGATTTTAGTAAAGATCTATTATTTTTTATTATTTTGTTTAATAATGGACGAAAAAATGTTGAGTTGTTATCTGTACAATTATTGCATCGTTTTAGAGAATATACTTATAGATGGCAAAATACAAAAATCGGTTGAAGAATTCCTAAGAAATTGAATTTCATAAAAGCCAGACATTTAAAACTAGATTTCCACAGGAACCATTCGACCGATTTCACTCAAAGTTAGCATTTTTATCTCGTAAAATTATATTCTTTAAAATGATACAGAAAATTGTGTACCTTAGAATTCAAAAAGGTTTTTCACAACCATTATTAAATAAAATAATAAAAAAATTATAAATATTTACTAAAAGTTATAGTTTGAATAGAATTATCTTTGGATGAACGCATTTTATAATTGTGTGCAAAAATGTTACAATTTGTTTAAAATGTTTTCGAGATACGCAAAAAAGTAAAATTAACATTAAAATGTTGGAGCGCTCTGATCTAACTATTGAGAGCCTAATTCCAAGATTGCGATCAATCCCCATAGTTTTGGGGTTGGAAATCAGTCCACCCTCCCTCCAGCCATTAAGATTGAATCATCAAACGTTATTCAGAGTATTTTATTTTGAGTACTGTGTACTTTTGAGTACTATATATACATATATGTACATACATATATATATACACATATATACATACATATCTATACACATATATACATATACATACACACATATCCATGGTGTCTCAGTTAAGCGTTTCAGAACTTCTAAGAGGGGTAGGGGGCGTCCTGACGACTCGAAATCATATAGCAATGTGGGGTCGGAAATGCTTTCCTGAAGCGGTGACGTACACAGAAGCACCATAAAGAAAAGAGACCGTAAGTGAAAAATCGCTATAATAATACATTGAAAGAATTATATGGCCTCCTCGGTCACCCGACCTATCATGTCTTGTTTTCTGGAGTCATATGAAAACACTGGTTTATGACACCCCTGTTGATAATGCTGGTTGCAAGAATCGCAGTAGCTGCCTGCGAGATATGCCTGGAGTATTGCAGAATGTTCGAATGTCCATCCACCGGAGATGTGAGGTGTACATTGTAGCCGGTGGCAGAAACTTCGAACACTTACTTTGGCCCATGTACCATACAATTTTTTCAGTGTATTATTATAGCGATTTTTCACTTACGGTCTTTTTTCTTTAAGGTGCTTCTGTGTACGTCACCTCTTCAGGAAAGCATTTCCGACCGCACATTGCTATATGATTTCGAGTCGTCAGGATGCCCCCTACCCCTCTTAGAAGTTCTGAAACGCTTAACTGAGACACCCTGTATATATATACATACATATATACACATATACATACATATACATATGCGTACTTATATATATATTATTATTATTATTATTATTATTATTATTATATATATATATATATATGCACATACATATAAGTATGTATATATATATACTTCATTTGTTTATTACATATCATTAAAAAATAAAATAAAAATTCAAAATGCTCGGTTTTGTAAAAGCACTTAATCAAAATCTGCAAAAAGAGAAAAAGTTATTTCTTTAGCCAAACTATCTATGAACAAACAAATGTAAAATTTAGTACAAAATACCTATTTAAAAGGCATTCCTAAAGCAGTTTCGAAGGGAAAATTTAAAAAAAAAAATGAAACAAAAGAGGTTTGTAGCGATGAGGTTTTGTGAAGGGGGAAAAAATGTCGAACCTCTTCCTTGTAGAGCAGCCAATCAGAACTGAGTTCAGCCAATGAATACCTTCGGAAAATTCTTTTCTCCTAATATTATGGGTTCATTAGTTATTTAAATCACAACAACAATCAGACAGGGATTCCCAAATACTCAGAGCTAATTCAATATTATTACAAACTTTAGAAATGGAATTTGAAAGAACAATCAGGTTGTAATTGCATATGTTAAAAATCACAATTTTGTTTCTTAAATTTCTCTCTCTCTAGCCACTACCAGAATCTTTTTCTATTCAAAGCATTTGGAAATCCCTCCTCTTAGACAATGAATCGGCTTATACACTTATTTTAATGCTAACATGAGAAAAAAGGTGTTAATCATCCATTATGAATATGAACAGATCAATATTGAATGAAATAAAAAAAGTTATGATACATTTCCTATAAACACATTCTGATACTGAAAGAAAAAAATAATAATTAACAAATAAAAAAAATGGCCGCTTAACAAAATGTAATGTGGGAAAAAATAATATTGGATTTTATTCATGTTACACGTCTTTTTTAACTATTAAAAAATAGACTTAAAAAAATTATTAAATATGTAATTATTAAAAGAAGAGCATAAAGAAGGAACATTAAAAGATGATAATGAGTAAAATTTCTAATTAAAAAATACCTTTGTTTCTCTGAGAGATGGTCTTCTCTCTTTCTCCGGTGGTTTCAGGTTCCAGTTCGGATCTTCCTGGTCTTCCTTCCACTTTGCATACTGCCTGCAAACAAACGTATTTATTGAAACAATATCATTATAATAAGGGTCTTTTTCTGGTTCTTTGGCACGACTTATATTATAACCGTCGTTGAACAGCTGACTTGATTTTGGGTTTACGATTACTGATTCCGCAGTTTTGTCATTTTGAACCCAATCCAGAAGACAAGAGAACTTCTGGACCAAGTTTGGGGAGAAATTTGCCTTCGTGGATGACTTTCTGATGCAACTAAACCACATTTGAGTTGCATGGAGACGAAAACCTCCCACGGTTAGCCTGACTGCAAGGGAACTCTAACCCGTGATCCACCTACTACTGAGGAGATTTTACGTCGGCACTGTGGTCGGTGCCAGCCGGATGTGGAATTTCGACCAGCCATCGCTGGGATACGAAACTGGTTCATTGGAAGGCTCTATCCCTTCAGCCACAACGGCTCACAACTCATCCTAGATAAAATTCGTCGTGAGCACAATGCGTGGAGTTACGCCGGATGCAAATGGTGGCTACGTCGAATTATAGTCGCGAAGAATTGTGCCCACGATCAACTGTTTCGCTGCGCGATGAATTGACACGAAAATGTTTCAAATTGTATTTTGCTGTTAATATTGTGCTTTTCTTATCTCTCGCAGAATTCAGTGTCTCTAAAACCTTAATAACTTTTGATCTAATGATCCTATTTTCATGTACTCCATCTGAATACCCACAAATATGCAAATTTAAGCAGATGATACGTGACAAAATAAAATACAAAGAAGTTCTGAATAAAACTGCCCCCCTTAGAATATTTGGGATAATCAGAAAAATAGTGTCCCGCTAGAATTTTAATTACCCATCTCAAAGACTCTTAAAAAATGTTCTGGATTTTATTAGCATAATTCGCATACAATTCAAAACTTTTCCGACAACTTATTTGTGAATAAATGAGTAAAAATATTGTTAAAAAAATCGTTTATAAAATTAATGTGAAATAGGCGTAAAGTAAAATTAACTGCTGCAACACCATATTTTGAATCTCAACGGGAAAAAAAAAAAAGATTTATTCAGATAACGTCTGTTCTAATAAATTATGGTTAAAGTCTTTAAGATTGAATGCTGTGATTTTGTTTTTGAATTAATAAATTTTTTTATTAAACGTTTTCTTAATTATTTGATTCCTTTGAGTTTTATTTGAGGTCATTTTTAAATTTTGCATTTTTATTTTTTGACAGTCTTGAATACCTCAGAGCAGTTATAAAAATAGCTTTGCAAAAGAATTTTATTTAATAGGATGACGAAAAATGGTCAGTTGTTCAAAGGATAAACTATTCACAGCAGGAGAAAAACCCTGGTGTGTAACTGTGCCAAAGTAAAACGCAGCCTCTATTTTCTATAGACAGCTAAGAATCCATCATCCTTGTAAGTGGTAACACTAAATCACGAAAACTGGCTGTTTACATTTGTCAAATATTTTATGACTTCTAAATAATGGAATGCCTCTAATTCATCTGCAATTTTAATAGCTTATAAGAACACAATCAAAACAGCTTAAATATGAATTACTTTTTTTCTCCATCCATTTTTATTCATATCTAAAGATGGGAGCACGTTTTATTTTGTAAAAGCTAATAAAAAATTATTTCTGCTTCACAAAACAATATTTATTCAGCAAAAACCTTTAATAATAAAGAATAAGCAATTTTTCAGTTTCTGTGAAATCAATCCTTCTATTTTTTTTAAATTAAAGTTTTTAAATAAATAAAATATGCTGCGCAAAAGACTTTTTAAAAAACACCTTGAATTCATTCGTATTAAGCTTTTCATCCCTGTACTGAATTGTCTCGAAAAAAAACATCCTTTGCTCATCGCATATAACATAAAATCTTCCAATCATTTTATATGGTATTTATATATAATGTGCCACCTTTGAAAACAGTTTGAATAGGTTACAGTGAAGGACAGAAATGGGTGGTTGTTGACTTCCACCGGTTCACACAATCGTTTCGGTAAATGTCCGAAATATATAATGCTTAAGTGCCACTGGCCGGTATAGCCTACATTTATGTTTTTTTAAAGGTTCAGTCGCCACTGCCCAGTATGCATTGAACCGGTAATCCGAACACTGATGTTTCTCCTCATCTATCCTCAGAACATATTAAAATAACGATTAAATATAATATCAAATCGGATATCACACATATTTTAGACATTCCCCAAAGCGACTTTGTAATTCTTGATAATCACAGTTGAAAGTAGACTTTCGCTTGATATCTATTATTCACGATAACAAATAGGCACCTCAGTTGCATATTCAAACAGTTGAATAAAACAACCTTAGAAAGCATCTTATTTCAAAAAATAAACAATAGTTGAAGAAATCTCCTCCGCATACACGCTATGAAAAAAAAAATTTGTTTTGTTTTTGTTTTTTAGTTGACTCAAGCTGTTTTGGGGAAATGAGTTTTTGTGAAAATATAGGTGGTTCGTCCTCTTAGGACTAACGTAAGCATCTTAGTTTTCTTAAAAAAGCAAATACAGTTTTTTTTAAATGTATTTTACATTTACAAATTTTGTTTAGATCAAGATTGCGTAGCAATTCATGCTATGCGAAGACAAAAATCTCACCTTTTCTTCAACATGGCTCTGAAATCCATACCACTTTCATCTGGAAGGATAAAAAAAAGAACATTATTCATCACATTATTGAGCAGCAGCAGCAGGAAAGAAAGAAAGAAAGAAAGACTCACCGCTCACAAAAAGGCTGACTTCTTGATTGTCCTCTCCCACTTCATTGTAGGCAACAATCTTGTATTTGCCTTCATCCTGTGCTTTCGATTTCCTTATACAGAGTGCAACGGTGTTGGAATTGCCGTCCGTGAAGATCTTGTACCTCCCACCTTCGAATATCTCGGAAATACCTTTGTAGAAATGAAACTTCGGAGCCGGGTTCCCTTCCACTTGGAAAGATATGTAGGCTGTAGCACCTGTTTAACAAACATCCAGCGCTGTCATTAGGTTGCAGACGACAATTCAAAAACGCTTTCATAGAAGATTTTCCCATTTCACAAACGATAGGGTTATGACATAACGATACTGAAAACACATATTCTGTGGGGTTTTTCTTATAAATAGGAACAAAACTTCAAAAAACCTTACGTATTAAACAACTAGCGTTTAATTCGAGCAAGGAATAATAACATCCACGCGAAAATAGCCGCTTGATAAATTGGAGGTAAACCTAAATTTAACATAATATTTTTCTTTAAAAGAAGTAAAGAAAACTTCTCAAAAACTACGATGTTGTTTCGCAACCATCTGCAAAAAAAAAAAAAAGCCTCATTGTGTGCAAATATTAATATGAAATGCGATGGCTCAGTGAAGAGGCACTGAGCGTTGTGAAGAGCTGCCTTTCGATTCCTGGTGGCAGCTAGAAGCCCCAGATCAATAAGTAAAAGCTTCTCCGAGAAGTAAAGGCGGCCTGCGCGCAGTTCTGACCCCCTTGTTGCCACACTCATGCCGTTGGTCATGAAATAGTGGAGCCTTGACCCTCTTGGGCCACAACAGGCAGTTGCGGAAATGCTTTACTTTACTATTATTTTTTTTCATCAGAGTCTGCTTTCAATTAAAAAATTTATATTTAAAATGAGAAAGTCTTTTTTAATTTTAAAGATAACCAATACAGATTCAAATTTTAGAAACTAATTTTGTATGTGTGAATCAAATATCAGCTATTTTGGGTAAAATAAAAAATTTAAAAAAAAACATTCATTTGCTTCTGTAATCATTTAACTGAACTAAAATTATTTAAAATCCAATATGGCGAGGGTATTTATCAGATTTTACTGCATATGATATCCGCCCATTCGTCTTACCTTGTTACAGGAAGTATGTTGATTGTAAAGAGATAAAATTTCGTGAAGAACTAACTTTTTGTTGCATGTGCTTGATTAGGGTGTGGGTGATATAAAATTATTTCGAAACCGGTAGTGATTTTTTTTCCAAATGGTATTTTCCCCCAAGTCAAAATTCTTGATGGTCCCATTAAAACATTTAGATGGTTTATGTCGGTTTCAGTGCTATTCACGATAGTCCAACATTATTGGATGGTCACCATCATCCAACATTTTTCATTATGCTTTCATGGTTTTTTGATAGGCAAACAAACTTCCATCATTCCATGATGGAAAACGCTACTTCAATACTATGATGATTAACTATCAAGAGAAGTTTTATTCTCGTGGGCCAACAATCCATGGTGAGCCCTGATGGTTCCAGCTATACATTTCCATTATTTTTAAATGGGAATTCTTGTTTATTCTCAGGAATATACCATCAAAACAATTTTTTTTTATTTGTTGGACCACTATAAATCAGACCGAATTCCTACATTTGGATGATGGTTTTCATGGACGTTCAAACATTTAATTTTTAAGATACTACTCTGATGGAAATTCATGATGATCCATAATGGCACAACAATGCATTTTCATGATAGTTTAATAATAACAAGGAGGCTTCGCCCCCTGCTCGCTGGCGCTCGCCAACCCCCGGAACTGCTTTCGCAGTTCATTTCGGATTGCTTCGCAATCCGATGCTCGCTCATTGGATACGTTCTTAACGTCTAGCTTTTGTATACTTTTTTGAACACTGAAGTTCCGAAAACCTTTCGCTGTAGAAAATTCTAAACCTGTGCATTTCAATATTAATTTGAAATTGCAAACAGTTCGCATATTTTTCTTAATCACACTATTCTAAATTTCAGTTGTTGAGAAAAGTAACTTCTGTAAGTTTTGTTTTAAAGTCTTTCCCACCAGAGGGCTAAAACCATGTGTTGTAAAACAATATGAAATAGTACTGAATGCCGGATGTAAAGCATCGGCTTCGATGAAGATAATTTTGTTAGAATTTTTTTGATATTTCGGTGAGAATTCACTTGATTAGACATATGATAGGCTCACTACGTGCCCTTGCGTGCCGAAGCTTATCAATTAAAACGCATTAGCGTTTTATATAATATAGATTAGTCATATGATGCTCACTGTGCTCACCAGGCTTCACCTGATCTTTTGCTGACCTGTATGGGACTGGAGAAAAATTTTATTTTGGAGGATCCGCAGATGGTGTTTGATTTTCTGCCGGTGAACGGTTTCCTGGACTTGGTCTAGCCTTGTTCTGGGCCAAGAGGAATAAGTATCACCACCATGATGCTCACTACGTGCTCTTGCGCGCTGAAGCCTATCAATTAAAAATGAATACTGTTGCCAACGCGAGAAAAGAAATATCATCGATTTTATTGATACATACGTATTAGCGTTTTATATAATATAGATTATTGTTGGTTCAGTCATCAAAAATCAGTCGGAATTGCTACATTTGGGGCGATGGTTATTTATGTTGGTTACCATCAAAAATATAATTGTTCAAGATGGAATCATTGATGGTTGCCATCAAGATTATGTTGGCCCGCCTATCCATGGAAAACCATCTAAAATGTTGACTTGGGTGAGTTTAACACTTCACGCATCCTTCCTGATACCACACCCTACGTATAAAAGGGGAAGTGAAAAATTCTGGTTCCTAATAATTACATAACGATTTTAGAGAGAGATATCGATTGCAGATTTGACTGTTAATTCTATACGTTTATTTTTAGAAATGGTTAAAAAGACAAACCTTCAACAGCAGAATAATTTTGCTGGAAATCTATAATGGAGGGAGCTGACTTTTCATTTCCTGGAATTGGTTTGAGAGGTGAACAAGGCTTGTCAATCATTTCTTCTAATTCTGACACGCTGGAATGAAATATATATCAGTCAAGTTAGAAAAGGGTGCGTAGCCAAATTATTAAACAAGCACCTTTTAAGCACTTTTCAAGCACTCAAAAATATTTTCAAGCACTCAAAAATATTTTTAAGCACTTTAAAAAAAATATGATAATTAGGCAGGGTCGGAAAGTTTTTGACCGGTTTTATCCGTTATGTCTAGAAAAAAAAAACTTTTGACAATTGACAAAAATCACGAAATTTTAAATCCTGTAAAACGAATTGCATTTTCATTCGCTGCGGAGTGACGCCAAAATAGATTTGGGTTGAATGAATTGTGAAAACGTTGAATAGAACATTGTGAACTGTCTTTTTGCATAATTCTAAGCGAAAATGAACATAGTAAAGGAAAAATCTCATTTTTGAAAAAGGGAAAATGAAGCACTTTTTAAAAACACCCCATGGAAAAAGCACCTTTAAGGGTTTTTAAAAAACGAAAATATGCACCTTTAAGCACTTTTTAAAAGAACCCTGTAGAAATATCCTTTTAAATCACTCAATTCATTTATAAAATGCTTGTCACTTTTAAATACTGTGAAATAACATAAATTAAAAATTTCTTTTTCTACTTTCAAAACTTTATACATTCCTCCAGTTATTTTGTTCGTTCGTCTAGACTTTGTTTTAGATACACAGTTTGTGATGTGGATATTAAAGATGTGGTAAATACCTGACTCTACGAACATCGATACTTTTTCTCCTTTTGGGTGCTGCTACTTCAAGCATTTCACCGGGACGGAGTTTCTTCGTTTTTCCACTCTCATCCACAACCATGCCTTTCTAAATAAATTAATTAACATAGATCACTTTTCTTTTAAACAAGTAATATAAAATTAAAAAAAAGATTCGAAAAATTAAATTACTTTTTATTAAATATTAAAATTTTTTTCTCCCATATAAAACTAAAATGAATGAATTAAAATTGAAAGAATGAATTAATATTTGAAAAAACTGTCTTAGCATCGAGTATCATCCACTAAAAAATGTATTTGAAGTAGAGTGCTTGACTAAAAAGTATTATAAAAGTTATGAAAAATAATGGCACGAAAATGTTCACGATTCAATTCCATTTTTTGAAAGAGAAGAACTTTCCAATTTACTGTCAACAACACAAATGAAGCTATAATGGTAAATCGTCTGCTGAATTTATGTTTAAAAATATCAAACTTTCGATTAAAATCGTCTGCGGTCGCCTAGCAACACTTACTGTTGCCAAGGCCAGAAATATAAATAACAAACCTCGTACCACGTTATGTTCTTTTTTGAATTTATTAATATAAAATTAAATATTTAAACGTGAGCGATAAACTATTTTTTTGTTCAAATAGAGTAATAAGTTAGAAATGATCACTGATGTTATCTTTAAAATATGTAAATTACTGACTAGCGTATAGTAAAATTTAAAACAATGACTAACGCTTCACCCATCAGAAAATTCCATTTCGTTTGTAGTTCATCTCCATTGAATGAATGAATTAATATTTGAAAAAAACTGTATTTACATCAAGTGTTCATACACTACAAGTTTTAAAAAAAATGTATTTGAAGTTGAATAAAAAGTATTTTATAAACGATTGAAAATGTAGGGAGATTGTGAAATAGAAGAAATTGGAAAAAAAAACTTTCGAAATTAAAACGTAATTATATACTTCCTAACAATAACTGAAACTTTTTTTTCTAGAAATATAATACTTCTTAATCATAATATAGAATCACAGAGAAGAAACTCTTTCCGTTTTTTTGATATTTTTTTCAAATCTCTCTCAAGAAATACTTAGATAACTATTTCATTATTTCAGAGGATCATGCGATTTCTCTTACTTAATGCTTTCAGAAATACTGAATGGAAATGAATGTCATTGAACATGTTAATGAACCGAAAATGAATGTTATGGAATGTCAGAAAATGTAGCAACGAATTTATCATTTGCATCGATTACATTGGTTTTTATATTTAATAACTACATTAAAATTTGTAAACTTAGCATTCACAAAAGAGATTATTTTAAGATATATAAAAAAAAAACGATTTTTGTTTTGCCTTACCGTAACAGTAAAAACATTCGACAAACTTAAACAAAATTGCCAGAGCAATATCTTAATGGATGCAAAAATATTATTTTAAAATATTAATAAAAATTTCGTTGACATTTGCGCAAGTGATGAGCACTTAGAAGTAGCTCCTTTTAACTGCGCATGCGCAGGAAAATATTTTTAAAAAAATTCTTTTTCGCGTGAATCGTAATAGGCAAGCCCAAATTGAATAACGAGATCATTATAAGTTTCTAAAGTAGTTCGTTGAGGAATAAGAGGTTTTTTATACTTTTTTTTGTATCATAAATCAAAAATTAGTAACTGAGGTGATAATGTGAGTAATAAGGAGGCAAAACGTACTTTTTTTAATACATTTTGAGCGTACTCATTTTTTATACATTTGAAACGTTGTTGGTACAAAACCAAATTTATGGAAAATTTCTTACCGTTCAGAGTCTTCTTTTAATACTTACAATACAAAAACACCTTAGAAAATTTTAAGATATTTTAATCAATTATTAGATAAAATTCTTTCAAATTATTCTAGTTTAATTTATTCCCTATTTTTACATGCAAGCAAATAAAAAAATTACAAATATATATATGCTATACGTATCACAATTTGCTCATAATTAATACGTTATTAATTATGAGCAAAAGAAATTTAGTTCTTAAAACTTGATATCTAAAGTTTTCCTATAACTAAAGCAAAATATTTTCTTCGTTAACCATTCTTACGAGTTTAAAAGGATTATTAAACTGAGAATTTAATTGTGCTTTCATCAATATCTCCATCTAAAAAGATTGGTAAATAATTCATATTGAAAGTATAGACTAGGAGACTTTCTCCAGAAAACTGTCAGCAAAATAATGTAAGGAAATCGATCCTTTCTCATGAGCAACAAATAATCATTCTTCTTGAGCCGTGACAGCTCAGAGGATACAGCACCCCAATGAGGTGAGCCGACAATGACTGGTAGATACGCATCCGGCTTGCACCGACCATAATCATGGTTAGAGTCCCCTTGTCGTCAGGCTAACAGTGGGAGGTTTTCGTGGTTTTCCTCTCTATGTAACGCAAATGCGAGATAGTTCCATTAAAATGTCCTCCACGAAGGCAGATTTTTCCCAATACTTGATCCAAGAGTTCTCTTGTCTTCTGGGTTGGGCTCAAAATGACAAGGCTACCCAAAAAATTCAAAATTTGAAAAGTTTCTTCTTCACTCAACCTGTTTTTCTTTTACAAAAACACATCTCTCTTCTTTTTACTATGTTTTCTTTCTTTTTTCCTTCCAAAATACATTTTTTTCTGCATGTCCTCTTTTTTTTTTTTTAAATTTCTTTCTCTTACTCGTAAGAATCCGTGATACAAATTGAGTTTTAGCAAAATTTCTTTTATTTTGAAATGATTTTTTCATTCGCAAAATGTACAATTTCGTATCCACTTAATTTTTTTAATGGCACATACAGGGAAACCCGAGAAAATCAAATTTCTTAAGATCGAGAAATATTTTTTTCTCTTTTTTTGCACTTGTGATGAGGAAAAAAATGTAATCAGTCTTTTAAACTAAGGGCAGGGTGCATAATTTTTCACACGTCGTAGTAATAAAGATGTGTAACATCTCATTAAAAAGAATGTTAATTAAAAACAACAGAATTTTTTTTAAATACTGTAGAAAAATGTTTTTATCAAGACTTTACGAATGATAAATGCGAAACTCAAGATTTGTATGCCGTAATAATATGTTAAAAACGTGATATATGCGAAAATGTGAAAATTTATAGAATAAAAAAACACGGATTTACGGTTTAGTAGATAACAGTTTTTGTTCAATTTTGGTCAATCCACTCAAAATCTCAATGGGTTTAAGTACAACGTATTAAGTGCGAAAATATTATGAATCCAGGCCTTCTAAGCCCCTGCGCAAAATATTCGGGTTTTGGGGTACAGGGGCAATACAATGTTTACCTATCTGAAAATAGTATGGAGGATGTAAAAATGTCACTTTTGGAGCAAAAAGTAGGATGTATTCACGTGAAAAAGAGAAGCAATTTACGTTATTTTGCTAATTCTTATTTGCAGCTTTTAGAATACATTTGCAGCATTACTGGTCATTTTTTAAATTTCAGATAATGACTTTTTAGTGTTGTGTCATTTTTGAGAAGATCCGTCTGGATAGCAGAGCAGGCAATGTTTAGATATTTTTAAGGATAGAGCTCCATTGGAAATCAAGAAGTTCAAAAATAGGCTTCATTTAACATGCGTATAGATTAAGGATAGTTCATGGGTAAGTTTCTTCTTCTTAACACTAGATTTACGGACGCGTCTTATATACGGACACGCGTCAATTTGACCCATGAACGAATTACATATAACAGCACTTAGAAAGCAATGTAATTATATACTATAACGAGAAAAATCAATTAAAATATGAGATATATATTTATGGAAAGTTATTATTATTCAATAATTTTATTATGCACATCTCTCTGATCAATTGACATCATTGCGATTCTGCGTTTGTTCTTTCTATTACTGCTTATCGGCAACAGTTGTTTATCGTTTGTTTCGCTTGAGATAACGATATCGGATCGGTACATTCCTATTTATTATGGATGTTTACTCCAAATTTTGTCTACATTACGATCGCGTCGAATGGACGCATATCCGTAGAGATACCACAATAGAATTCCGTAGAGATACCACAAAGAGAATTTCAATATTTCAACGCTTTTGAAGAAAATGGACTTCAATATATATTTACCTCGATTAATGGATAAAAGTCATTACAGCAGATAAAATAAAAATGCAAACGGAAATTTGAAATTTTCCTTATAAAATTCGAAATGCGTCAAAATGACGCGTCCCGTAAACCTAGTGTTATTATGGTCAAAATGACAGTTTGAAATACGTTTTTACGAAAACAAACGCAACTCAACCGGCGTGTATAAGAAAAATTGACACAACTGCTCCTTTTCAGTTTTCAACAAGGGATTACTTTTCGGCACATCAGAGTCAAAGTGGCTATGTATATGAACACTTCGCATTCGAAATTCTAAACGGTAACGTAAAATTTAAATTTCTAAATTATTAACAACGTGAGTTTTCAACCAATTTTTTTACACTATTTTAAATCTATAACAATCACTGCAATCTTATATAAGCAACTTTTAAAGTCTTTAAAACAAGAATAATTTAAATGGACGCAATCCCATTACGAATTTATTTAGATTCATTCGTTTAAGAAAAAGAAATCATTCGCATCCATGAAAAACAGAATCAAATGCTCCTCACAAACACGCGTTCCATTGTCGTAAACAGATACTAAAGTTTGTCTAAGCTAAGAACTCCTCCCGCCACAAAGTCTGAGGTCGTCTGGTGCTATGGAAACAAGAATGGTGAATTTTAGGGAGGGTAGCTTCACTCTAGGACTAACACAATAGACCGAAGAAAGAGATTCACCCGTTGACCCGAACCGAAACCACTCCCAAAGCAGTGAACCCGCACCCCTACTTGAAATAGTCATACCTTGTAACCATAGTCACCGCTACAGGTCTGGGGGAGTTCTTATTTTAGACAAACTATACAAGCTCTGTCCCGATTTGAAAACTCACCGACAATTCAGGAAATGTGCTGTTTTTTTGTGTTTTCAATGTAGGAGAGAGAAGGATTAAAAAAGAATACTTACGTGTATCAGAGATATATAAAATATTCATGCTTAGAGGTAGGTTGTGTGCAAAGAAAAAGACCTGGAAGAAGCTTTAAAAAAAAGAATCATGCCGCATGAAATATAAAAGATCATAACAAAGAGGAAGAGAGACAACAGAGAGAGGATTACAGACAGAGGAATGATAGACAAGGGCTGTTAGTAAAAAGACAGAGCATTGAAGCAGGCAGATGATTATATGCAATGCAATTTCCTGGGCTCTTCTTGATACAGTGTTGCATAAAACTAATTGATAAATAATGCTTTGAATTCATTTTAGGGTGCCGTCTTCATTGTCAAAATTCGATCGTATAAAAGGTGATTTGTAGAATAACAGCTCTCCCATAACTCTATCCGATTACTCAGTTATGGTTCTCAATTTGGTTCTATATTTATTTAATTTTCGGCGAACTTCATACTTGCCTAGTTTTTCCGAATGATTTTGGAAAGGGTACAGTTTCTTGCTACTTTAAGGTCATACAAAATAGACAACTCACACACGTTTATTTTTACTACTCAATGATATGTACTAATCATTGATATGTATTCACAGAAACCTTTGTGGTTCTTGTAGATTTTGACGGTCTCAGAAAAAAAAGCCTTTCTTTTAAGATTTTTGAATGATCTTCAACTAAAAGTATTTATCGTTTAATAATTAAAGTGATCTTAGTAAATTATAAAATAATGGTCATGATTCCCTTAAAAGTATTCCTAAAAGTATTGCCATTGATGCTCAAAGGATCTTCACTTTTGATTCCCTTAAATTTAGAGAAAAAATATCTCCCCCCTCCAAAAAAAAATTGCGTTAATAGTTTTACATAAAGAACGGAAAGTTTTAACAAAATCAAATCTAAATTCCTAATCTGACTCTTAAGAGAACTGGCTCTTAAACCGAGAACAGAGTAAACAAGTTTTGCTCATTTGAAATATTTATCCTATTAATAAAAGCATTTCAAAACAGGACCTTGTAATAAAAACTATTTGCATCATAAACAGCACTAGTTGGAATTATAGTTTCCTTTTCGTCGTGAAATAGTATTGGTTGGGTGGTTCATAAACTTTCTCTCCAGAGGACAACTTTTTTTTTTCAGTTGAAAGTATTTTAGTTACGTTTCACAGAACTATACTAATTGTACTCTTTGTACTGATTTCACAGAACAAAGTATTCATAAATATTAGTCACAAACATAGTAGAACTAAACATCTCTTTTTGGAAATAGTTACAAAAATAGAATGTTGCGTTTAAACTAAATAATAAAATAAAAAAAGTAGTATCAAAATATTTATCTTAAAAAATAACCTTTTTTTTAAAAATAATAAAGTAAATACAAAAGTATACATATAATGTTTCAAGGTACATAGGACATGACATAACCACATAATGACATAAAATATAAACTTGCAAATACTTAAAAATAGGCGAGAAAAATAATTATATATTGATTTTATAGTTCCATTTCTTTTTTGAAATGCCAAAACAATTAGATTAAAAGAGAAAGTTAGTTTGATAAGAAATGTAAGCGCTCATTACATACAGAAAAAAAAATTCAATTTGATATTAAGAAGAAAAAAAAAACAAATTGTAAACATTGAAATAATAGCTGTTTTTATAAACGGTCTTTAAAAAAAATTAGTTTTCAAAAATCATAAAATACTTGTTTGCAGTATTAAAAAAAGATAGGTTAAGATTCAAGTCGATAGGTTAGTCTTTTGTACCTACAACTGCTATAAACACAAAACAGATAAAGACGTACACTCATTATATAAACATACAGTAACACAGTTTATATTCTTGTTTCACAAAGACAGTTCACAGACACCGTTTATATTTATATTTTATGTTTATCAATTCATTAAAAAAATGCTAGAAAACTTATTAAATGAAGTTAAGGAATTCTTATCACAATTTTTTGAGAAATTTTTTTTAAATTCTAATAATCATATATTTTTAAAATTTTGATATTAAAATTTGTAAGTTTTAAGAAACTGCTTGCAGATTATTTTGAACTCTTTTATAAATTTATGTTAAAACACAGAGTGTTGTATGTGGCTCTTTTAACTTTTGACACCGGTGTAAAAAAAAACGATTAAAAAAGCCTCATTCATTATTATATCAGAGCTTAACCCCGTTCCGCCACAGTCAGGAGGCATCCGAGGAATTCATGCATTATCATATAAATGATTCGATTCAGACGATTAAGTCCAAATTTAAATTCATTCGAATTCATTTAGACATTTTATTTAAAAAAAATTGTTACAGTTCTAAAATCACTCATTATACTTATCGTATTGCTATTTAATAATTTAAAAAAAATTTTAAATTAGTATTAAATTGAAAAATATTTTCAATTTGGTTCATATTTTTAAGTCATCAAAAGAGAGTTATAATTGACAAACTATTTATAACAATATTATTCTATAATTGTATTAAAAGAACATTTCGCTCACTCCACTTTAAATTAAACTTTGTATATTTAATTTTTTTTTCTAATTATAATCGAACCATTAGGTTTCGACTCTAATCCAAACGAACGTTAGATTTACTTTAATAGTGAATAATGTATTTTTTCTTGCCGTGATGCAAAAGGAAACATAAATTTCAAACACAACAAACATCAATAACAAAGATAAATTTCAGGAGAGGTAAGGCAATTAAAGATCTGCTTTGATTCTTTCATGAAGAACTTTCGCGACAGCAGCAGATGTGAAATTTATACAGTTTACAAAATTCAAATGAGGCGATGCAGTCATGTATGAATTCACTTTAAAATAAACATTTAGATAAAAATAATAAATTAGACAACATTTCATTAGAAATGATTCATAACACGTTGAGCCAATGTATTTGGTTGAAGCCTTTATTGCATTTAACTAATAAAAACTTTTTGCTTTTTAGGTGTTTTTTTTTTTTTTTTTTTTTTTTTTTTTTTTTTTTTTTTTTTTNTTTTCCTTTTTTTTTTTGCATTTCTGTAAGTATTAAACTTCTTGGATGAGATTCATTTTTGCTTCTATAAAATTGTATTTTTTTTTATTTATTGTTTTGAGAATCGCTTATAAATTTATAAATTAATAGTAAACAATGAAATCTAGGAAACTAAGGAAAAAAATGTTTTTAGTAAATTATTCTCAAAAAACTATTAATTTTTATGACTTTTAGTATGAATTAAGGAAATACTTCTGACGATTCTTTCTCTTTGATTCAAATAAAAGAAGTTTGTCATTCATTTAATGGAGTGGTTAAATATAATACATTAAATATTTATACTTTTTTGCAATTCTTTATATTATAACGAGTCTGGCGTCAAGACTGTTTACTCAATCTCTTTAGCCAAGGTTTAATCATAGTCTTTCTGTAAAAAATAAAATATGCTTGTGTTCTAAATATTAAGGTTGACTTGGTTTCATGTTATAAAATATATTTACATGTTTCATTATTGTTTTTTTTTATTATTATTATTATTTCTGTGGCATAATGGACATTTATATAAATTTATGTTTACTTCTTTTTTATTAAGTTATATGCTACAACAAGAGAAAATAAACTCTTGTTTGTCTTTTTACCCTATAAAATTGATTTGCTCAAGTTTAAAAACTAAAAAATATCTTGAATAAAAAAAAAATTCATAAAATTTATACTATTTAAAATCATTTATATGTGAAACTTTAGTTGCCTTACTTCCAAACAAAATGACTTAACCAGGTCTTTTTAGACAACCTACCTCATCAGCTATAATGATGGATCCCCTCCTCGAGCCACCAGGACTGGGGATATCGACATAGGAGCCTCTGCGGCTTCCGAATTGGGGAACACTTACATCTGCTGACGCCTTCCTGGAACTGGGAGGTTCTTTGATCACAGGAGCTCCTCCTCCCGTCTCCTCCACAGAGATTTGTGGAACTGTGGATTTTGCAGACTCTTCTATTTTGGTCGATTTTACTTTTTCTTCCTACATAGGAACATTCTTATAAACTTCTATTTTAAGGATAATTAAAGGTTCAAAATGCTAGAGAAATATTCAAAAGCAAGACTTGTTATAAATTTCAATCATAAACAATTAAAGATGTTCAAAATATTAATAAAAATTTTCAAAATAAAAAACAATTTATTAATACCAACATTCCCTGCTATGCATTTTAATCAGTAAACGAAATAACAAAAGTTCTTTTACGTCATTAAATACGTTTAATTCAATCAGGCCCATTAAATGAAACAAAAAAAAAAAAAGAATATTATAAAAATTCGATACCAGTATTCCCAAAAATGTTGTTTTCTATTGATTTTGTTTAAAGCTTTTGTTCTGCTTTTGTAGCTGCCAACCAATCAAAAAAATTTCAGAAATTAGAAACTGATATTGATGCACGATTGAAAACATTGAAAAAAAGAATATTATCGTTTGGCTTAAATTAATGCCGATATATGTTATAAAAGCAGAAATCGTTTGAGTCAGTTATTTATTTTATTTCACTTATTCAATGTCGTAATCGAAACGTTTCCATTGCAGATATTGGTATATAAACACACCGAATGTAAAAAAGTCATTATTTTCAAAACGCATTAAGTAATGGCAGCTACTATTTAAGGCTAAATTACGACAGCCAAATTAAATTAAGTAATCATATCTTTAATAATGAATTTTAAAAATCAATACCAGCACGAAAATCAATAATTTTCATTAAAAAGTAAATTTGCGAAAGGATTCCAACAGAAGCAAATATGACTTGGATTGAAAACGATTGTGTGAATACAACGAGAGACATTTTTTGCAAGGCTGTTACTTATGTCTTGATAGGCGATTTCAGCGACATGCGGCGAATCATTTTCACGAAATATTCTTCTTTACATTTTATCGTTGTTTCATTACCTTTATTTCTATCTTTGATTCCTTCTTTTCTGTCTTTGTTTCTTTCTTTTCAGTTTTTTGTTCCACTTTTTTCTCAGATGTCTTTACTTCTTTCTTATGAACCTCTAGTTTCTCTACTTTCTTTTCTTCTTTCACTTCAAGTTTTTTTTCTTCTTTCTTTTCCACTTTTATTTCCTCTTTCTTTTCTTCCTTCTTTTCAACTTTCTTTTCTTCTTTCTTTTCAATTTTCTTTTCCTCGACCTTTTTCTTCTCTGAAAATAAATTGATAAAGATAATTAAAAAAAAGAAGGGAGAAAATATTTGAGATGGTTTGAATCTACTAAAGAAAGTTTTCGTACAAATCGATTTTCTATAAACATGACGTCACATCGTTTCATTAAAAGCGAGACAAATAATAATCACGAATAAAACAATACCAGACCTGAAACAGTCAACTGCGCTGAACTTTCATCTTTTCCAAAATCATTTGTAAATTCCACTTTGTAGAGTCCAGACGAAGAAACAGAAGTCTTTGAAATGCTTAAAGTGGCTGTAGTATTATCAAAGGACAGCTTTATCTCGCTCGATTCTTTCATAATTTGGGTGCCTCTAAAGAAAAAGAAAAAGATGGAGTCTAATGATAATAAGCTACCAGCTAATACGTTTTTATTTCATTGGCAAGCTTGATATATTTCCTTTTGTTTGCAAAACAAATAAATACAAAATGGGCTTATTAAACTGTGAGCTGCGGCTAGCAGAGAACTCAAATCTTTAGAGTTTTTAGGTGAGCGTTTAGAAAATGCTAAAAAAATTTTCCATTTTCTAGTACCAGGAAGTAAACACCATCAAATGCATAATATAATTTTTTTTCCACCGCGAGTTGAAACTCGTCAAGTATTGCTCACCTCGACGAAACTGTTTAGATATTTAGCACATTTTTTTTTCATTGAACACGAGAATAGCAGCTAAGAGTTCAAACAAAGCTGAAGCTCAATTAACGAAATTGAAATGCACTTTTTTTCTTAAACGGAGACAATGGTAGACAATTACTGAGTGACAGAAAAATTTGCGAAATGAGTAAGCTAAACTACTTACTTATACCAGGTAACACTTGTCTTAGACGTAGAAGTCACTTTACATGTAAATACAGCACTATTACCTTCTTCTATAGTCTAAAAAAAATCAATACAGATATGTAGCACAATTAATAACTACAAAAAGAATAAAATAAAGAGAAAAATGAAGAAAATTAATAAATTTTATTTTATCTTATTTTAATAATTTTCTTCATCATTATATTTATATGTAACATAAAAAGCTTCAATTAATCTTTTTATGTTAGTTTCTTTTATTAAACTTCATCCTAATTAATTATTCTAAACGAAATACTTTCTCACACTTTTAAAAGTCACTCTCAGAGTAAAATAGTCTTTG